TCAAATGGGGCACCTTTTTAGAGCCGATGCAACTTCTGACCCAACCGACGCAACCCTTGGGTTACTTGCTAACGTTATGCACGCACGGAAACCAAGAGCACGTCCCCCACGCGCATAGGGGGAAAATACAGAGGGTCAGAAATTAAACCCCAAATTAAGTATGGACCTAAGCGTTGGGGTTGCCCCTTTAAGGCAACTAGAAATGACTGGAGGAGCATTGGCCAAAGCCTAGGGAAAGTGGGCCAACAGTGAGCCGAAGCAAGTTTGACTCGCCAAGGGTCCAAATGGATTCCACAAAGGAAAATGCCTAGGTCAAGTTGCAGAGGCAACACATATAGCGGGAAAGTTACTGAGGCACTTTGTCTCAACGCCGCCATTCCTAATATCTTCGGTTTCACCGCCATCTGAAGTTGCTGAAGGAAAGAAAAAGCTGACACAACTAAGTTGCAGAGACAACACTTGCGACAACCAAATTGCAGAGGAACTTCACCCCAACGCCGCCATTTCAAGTAACGTTGATGCCGCTGCCATACCAAGTAATATTGGTATCATAACCATCTGGAGTTGCTAAGGGAAGGAGAAAACCAAAGCAACTAAGTTGCAGAGGCAGTACTTATAGTGCCCAAGTTGCGGAGGCATTTTGTTGGCGCCGCCATCTCTAATACTGTCGGTCTTGTCATTTGAACTTGCCATGGGAAATGACTACCGCAACAACTATAGCCACCGCAACCAACTTGCGGAGGGAACATCCCACCAAGGTGATGGCAGCCTTTGGAAAAAGCTTCTCCTCTGCAAGTAGAGGCTAATGCTTAGCGCTGATAGTAGGCCCCAAGGCATTACTAGCCTAGGGTTGATAGCAAGCCCCAAAGTTTATTTAACTTGGCGCTGATAGCAGGCCCCAAGACTTACTGGTTAGAGCTGATAACAAGCCTAGAGATACCAGTTTACCACAGCGATCCCGCAGAGATAAGAACAGGGTAGCCCGAGCATAAAGGACTCCCTTTCCATTACCCTAGTCATGGACCTGCCTTAGTCGTACAGGCAGGACTAAGGAAGCCCTCTTGGGCTTGGTACTAAGGCACAACATGGCTGATAGCGGGCTTGGCTGTGGCCTTCGCCCTGGGAAGCTAGGGAGTTTGTGGTTAGGTGGTTAAGGGTGGAGGCTTCGCTAAGGTGAGCACGAATGTAGTCGATAGCAAACTAATGGAGTCCTGAGAATGTATGTACTGGCCAAGTAGAACTAAGAAGGCAAGTGCAGCAGTAAGGTTTACTGCCGCAAGGACACTTGCTGAGGTTCAGGCTGAGAAGGCAAGTGCAGAGGCAAACACTCCCGCTGCAACTGCACTTGCTGAGGCTTAAAAGGGAGTTACAGCGCCAAATACTCCCGTCACAACTACACTTGCTGAGGTTCAAAAAAGGTAGTTGCGGAGGCAAATAGATAGTACACAGTACATGTAGAGGGACACGTGGTACCTTCAGCCTGGTGGCTCAAAGAAGAATATTCCATGTGATCCTCTAGGACACATGTCCTCTTTCTATTTGGCCACTTGGTGTCCTCTTGGTACCAAGGAAAAGCCTATAAATAGGACCCATTTCCCATGGTTCAAAAGGGAAATTTTGGGGATTTAGGGGAGATGCTTCCCATTTTGGCACTGTCATACATTTCTTCTTGAGCCACTTGCTTCACCCTGACCTAGCTACACACTCTCCAACTCCCAGATAGCTGTTGCTACTTATTCCCCAGCCACTTCCACCATTATTGGACTATTAACATAGTTTTGCCTCTCTAATCATCTTCCTAACTTTGAACCCCCCTACACCTAGTTTTATTAATGCAGTTGGGATTTTGTTTACTTAGACTTCCTAATTTGTTTTACATAACTTCTTTTAAGGTTAGCAACGCGGCTTGAACCATGAAACCCTTTCTACTAATCTTGGTAGTTTTCATGTCGATATTGGCAACTCTACAAGCCAATACAGAAAGGCTCACTTTGGTGGTTTATCAGCTTCTAAGTGATGCAAATCTTAGTCCAAAGGTTAACATTGGTGCAAACAACAAGGGTTTAAATGAAAAAAGTAAAAGTACTAGCATTGATGCGGAGAGTGAGCACAATGATGATTATAAAGTTGAGATCCAACACCTCTCTCCAGATGGCTGCCGCCCCTGCATATGTTGTTCCTAATAAAATATCAACATCAATATATAAGTAGTGGGGTCTACAAATTTAGAGGGGAAAAAAAAAAGAAATATCACAAATTTATCGAGAATACAAAATGGAAATCTAAGTTTCATTCATGAAGTGGGTCATACAAAAAAGGTTAAATCTGCATCACAAATCTATATTTCTAGATCAATTTCTGAGTTTATCTTCAAAGTCTAGAGAATTTTCCATATACAGTAGTCAAAAGTGTGTAATGTCAACAATTTTAATGTAATAGTGTGTTTGTCCAATTATAGACAATTATGCAATAATCTAATTACTATTTTCTTTCTTTCAAAATGGTTACCTATACTTGTGATGTGCTTGTGATGAGGGGTATGCATGGTGCAATTCAGGCGATTTGATAGTAAAATTACAAATTAAATCGTGAATGATGGATTGGTAAATAAACAAACCGCGATTTGAGTGGTTTGAGGCGATTTCAATTTACTAGTTGATCGAATACTATTCTTAAACAATTATCAAATATTTGTATAATGTACGACACTAATTTGTATAATATTATATATATATATATATAACATGTACTATTTTTTCATATGTATAACTACTAATTTGTAACAAATTTCACATCTTAAATATCTCTCACACATTTTTACGTTGATATTTCATTAGATGTTTAAAATATATATGTATATATATATTAACTATAGCAACGCATAATGGTTTTGATGGCATATTATAAATTTCAAAATTTAATCTGCAATTAGCAGATGGATCGATACTAATTGGTGTGTGTCATGCTCCAAAATTTGGACAATAAAATGTTAAATAAGGACTAAACCCCAATCAATATTCCATCATCCAAATCCTAGGGGTGAAACAAAAATCTAACTGTTCTCATCTCCTTATGGTTCAAATAAATTTCAACGCCCAGACAAAATTACAAGGGGTAAAAAAAAAAAAATGCCAACCAAACCGTCCATCATGATTCATAACTAATCACTACCCCCAACTAGGCCTGTCAACAGGTCGGATCCGGGTCGGATCTGCCAAAATTCGATCCGATCCGATTAACTATTAATCCGAATCCGAATCCGATTATTGAAAATCCGATTATACGTGATCCGATCCGATCTTTTTTACACGGATATCCGATCCGAATAATCCGATCCGTTTTTTCTTTTTTTTTAAGCCAGCCATAAAGTCAAGAAAATACCAATTATAAAAAAAACATAGCAGCTTTTTATAATGAAAAGTTCATCTTGATGTTCTGACTTTCCTAAGGCAAAACATTTAGGCAAATCATCACCAATGCAAAACATAACATCATTTCAAAGCATCTTTCCAAAACAAAACATCACAATTTCTCCCCTTGTGATACAATCAAAAATACATAAATGAGGGCTTTCACAATGTAGCATGAAGTAACAACAAAGAAAAACTTTTTAAAAAAAATATTCAATTCCAGCAAACTAAAAGTGAAATTGAAAGATATCTAGCATGTTTGACTAGCAACATCAAAATTGGAAACAAGTCTATTTCATTACACATGCTAAACATATGTTCTCGGATTTTGAACATACAAATCAAATCAAACAATACTAAGCTGAGCAGTCTAATTCAAAGCTTACAAGCCTAACCCAGCTCAATAACTCAACCTGATCATATCCCAGGTAGAGTACAAAAGTCACTGTTGCATTCATGGTGTAAAAACAACTCAAAAGATGTCACCAGGTTTTGAGAGACAATGGAGCATCATTACAAAGCAACAAACCAATCACTTGGTTGCAAATTAAACGGTGATGTGATTCAGTTTCACTATCACCAATCATATCTAACTCAAAAAGAATAATTCCATCATTGATAATGGGTCTATACAGAAAAAATTTCATCATCATCATGATCACCAACGAGATCCTCTGCCCATTCTCCAATCAAGTGAGTAGATTTTGTAACACTCTCAGCCATAAAATTGAGATCTCAGAACTCTACCATGTAATGTAACACTCGTAGCAGTCAGATAGATACCAACCCTAATGAATCAGTCCCTACAGAAGCTTCAGTCCACCGGTTACATCATCAACCATTTCAGCAGGTCCTGCGCATGCATGAGCATGAGAATTAGTCCAATGAACTATGGGAGACAAAAATAAATAAACTAATTTATTTTCATAATGCTAATCAAAAGAGTGACATAATTTTCAAATCAATGACACATTACCCTGTTTGGATGTTATTATTATTTTTTTTAATGCCTTTCTTTTGAAATCAACCTTTAATTGCTTAATTTGCAAATAAAGCACATCAGTAATGAAGAGAATTCCAACTTCTCAAGTCAATACATTTAACTCCATGTACAAAACCATATAATATCAAAGAAAGGTCGGTGGATAATATGCTAGAAATAATTGTAAGTGTTGTTGCAACTTGCAAGTATCAAATGAAAAAGACTTGGCAGACAATGTGAGGGTATCACAGAGCATAGTTGACACAAAATTGAGAAAAAAAAATTGCACATTGCTTGAAAGCTAATCCAAATTTATAGACTTGTTTTCAACATAAAAACTTTTCAATGTAAATCTTGATAACAATAATTAATCCTAAAAATTTATAGGCCTCTAAAATTCTCAATCAATTTGCCACTCATCCAATACTTATTCACAGCTCAATCCAAGAATATCAAGCTTCAAAAAGAAAAGTTATGTAACCACATTTCACCACAAGCAGTTCTAGTAAGAGATAATTAAAGCTATATACTCACGATTCTTCCAAGTCAATAACTTTAATAGCAACCACTTTGTTAAGCTCATTATCAAACCTGCAAATCCAGAAAGCTATTACCTTAATATGCAAACAGATTATCAAATTATGTCAGATACGAATTTCATAGATCACTATAAAGGCATGGGACAAGCCCCATAATCTGAACCATATTTACCCATCTACTTCAAGTGATTCGATTCAATTCAATCCATCTACTCATGTCTGCATTCTTCTACATCTGCAATTTGAAAATAATGTGACATTAAGATATTCATAGAACTAAACTAAATAACATCTAATTATTTAAAAATTTCAATATTTCACTTACTTCTATTTTTGGTTGATTCAATCCAATCATGGCAAGTGATCAAGGCCTCCACAATATCTGGAAGTAATGAAGCACGTGTCTCATCAATCACCCTACCTCCTACACTAAACGCCGCCTCTAATGCAACCGTAGTAGCAGGAACACTTAAAACATCACGAGCTATCCTTGCCAAAGTAGGAAATTTTGCTTTATTCACTTTCCACCAATGTAGAATATTGAAGCTCTCATTACTTGGAAACACCAACTCCTCCAAGTATTGCTCCACCTCTGATTTTTGATAGGCATGAATGTTAGAAGCACGTTCTTGGGCATACCACGCATGAAAAGCAGCCAAACTTTCTTGTTTCGAAGAACCGACAAGCAACTGACTACCACTTGAGCTACTATTTTCAGAAACAAGTGCAATGCTACTCATAGAATCAGAAGAATCACTCCTATACTCATAAAAAAGATCAACAAAACCATTACGGACCCTCTAAATATGCTTATTAGCATTAGCACCATAAATAAGCCCAAAGTAGTATTCCACCAAGTCCATTTTAAATCTCGGATCAAGAACCACTGCAATTGCTAACACCAAAGAACATTCTTCCCAATATTTTTGAAATTTCACTCTCATTGGACCAGCCATCAATTGAATGCAATCATACTCACTTTGCTCCCATTTTTTCATTTCAAGTTGAATAAGACAAATATCGGGAAAAAACACATTTGAAGTCGGAAAAGTGGTACCACTAAAGTGAGATGTAGCATCAAAAAAAATCTTCAAGCACCCACAAATCACATTTGCTACATTCCACTCATCCTCAGAAGGATTGTGCTTATATTGTTTGTCAATTTGCCCTAAGCGGTGGAATGCACTTTTCAAATCTAATGCAGCTTCAAGCATTGAATAAGTGGAGTTCCATCTGGTAGGAACATCCATGGGGACTTTCTTTTTATGATGTAACTTAACATGATTCACTGCAACATCAAATTTTTGTTTTCCATAAGGAGACCTCCCTAAATATCTCACACTTTCTCGGATTTTTGAAATAAGACTCCCAATCACCTTCAAACTATCCTGAACAACTAAATTCAATATGTGCGCGCCACAACGCACATGAAACAATTGTCCACCCAAATGTAGTAATCCTTGGTCATGTAGCCATCGCTTTAAGAGTCTCACCATGACATCATTACTCGTTGCATTATTAACTACCATTGAAAATAACTTTTTATCTATGTTCCACTCTAAAATTAGATCTTTGATAAAACTAAACAAATGGTCTCCATCATGCGGGTAATCAATGCGTCTATAAACAAGGTTTTTCTTCTTCAACTCCCAATCATTAGTCACATAATGAGCAGTCAAACATGTATAGGCAAAATTCTGATGGTCTGAAGTCCATATATCAGTTGTTAAGGTGATCTTAGAAGAGAGTTCATCCAAAAATTGATATAACTTGGTCTTTTCTATTTCATAAACATCAAGGACATCCGCCCTAACAGTGTTACGAGAAACAAGTTTGAACATTGGTTGAAGATTATTACAAAATATTTCAAAATATTCATGCTCAACCATGTTAAAAGGATAATTGTGTTTGATTACCATCCTAGAAAAATCCATACGACTTCTCTCTTGATCGAATTTAAAATTTGCAGCCTTAGGAGTAGATTCAGAAGCAGCCTTACTAGCAATCCTAGGGGCACTAAGTACTGGACATGTCTTCGAGGGGATGGTTTTGTTTTGACTAATCCATTTTGTAATCGGTGAATTATCGTTTTGTAATCATCGGGTTTTGTTGTGTAACCAATGTGTTTTGGGAATGTTGAAACGTCTAAACTGTTTGCTTATCTATATATATGTTTTGTTTGTTAACTTCCTTGGATCGGGTGGATTAGAGCATGTAGTAGCTCTAAAGTTTTATTGATGCAATAAATTGTTGTAAGACCATTAAATTTTTGGGTAATAGTGCATTTATATGCATGTGATTTGGTTTGGGAAAGAATTGAGGGATGCGTATCCTAATCAGGACTATTGTGGGGCTATTTTGGGGCTTGAATAGTTGTACTCGCCAGGTATGTAGAACTTCATGGGTGTAATACATTTGACCTTATGTTTTTATGGTAGAGATTTTGGTCTCTTGTCGGGAGAACTCCTCGAGAGGATGTGAAGTGTGTGACTAATACTAGGTGTAGTATATATTTGACTTGATGCTTTGCGGAGTCATAGTGCATAATTTCGTTAGGACTAGACTTATCCCTTCATGATAGGTAATGTCGTCAAATTTGCATCTGTACCAACTGGTAGTTTGATTAGAGAGAGTGTGAGACCCTATATAAGATAGTGGTTATTGGCATCGAGAGTGGTGTGTGGTGAGCGGCTGGCGTTATATCCCGAGTGGTGGAGTAATGGGTGCCTCTTAAGTTCCCAGACTCCCTTTTGATGGTAGAATACGATAGGTTTGTACCTTAATACCGGGTAGGTCAAGTGACGCTGACGACAGGATTGGTTGGGGGTATAACCCATGGTTTGGGTGTGAACCGTGAGTAGAATCACTATGGTTTGGTCTTTGCGAAGAGAGGTTTAGAATGATAATGAGAAGGTTGATGACTTTTACTCCTCCAGAAATTTAGAATGGTGGACCTGTGAAAGCCTTGTCAACGACAGACGACGATGTCGGGGTTGGGTTCATGGTGGTTGTCTAGCGGTAGCATTGGCTACTGGTTCGACACGGAGGTTGGGCCTCTTGATGGTACTCTCGGGATGAGTGACAACTAAGATGCGGGGTAAAGAGTGGACCCTATGGGTCATGGGGGGACTCGGTATGGAGTAAGATAGCGTGCAAAATAAGGAGGTTTTGCCTAGTGCGGTGCGTATTAGTGTGTGGTTCGTAGGTTGTTATTAGATTATGTGTAGAAGGGGATCAGTCCTGGAAAATTCCAGGTGAATGCCTTGATAAGGCAATAGTGTGGCTTCTTAGTGAAGTCGAGAGGTTGGACGTTTGGTTAAGTCAGGTCGCTTCGACATAACTGTCCGCCGTCCAGTTTGGACAGTGGTAACACAAGCGAGGTGGTAAGGTTGTGAAAAGTGAGTAAGGCACCATGTTTATGTATCGCTTATGTATGCATATTGTTGTTTGTTTAACCCTCATGTATTGGGGAGTATGTATGGAATCTCGAATCCTCTTTTTCTATTGAGAAGTTGTTAAAGGGATCAATGATCCTGATGTAGTTGCTTACTTGGTACCTATATGTTGATTAGTGTTTTGGACTCTGCTTGTTGATGAGTCCGTGGTGACCCCATCGGTTGTATAGGGGTATTGTTTGTATTGTGATTGGCTATCAATTGTTGGTTATGGTTTGTGAGTGGATTCTGGCAGCGTTCTTGAGAGGAAGAACAGGTTGTGTTCTAGGATGATGAGAATAGCGTCGGTCAAATTGTCCTTCGTGATTGGGTTGTTGTAATTGAGGTTTACCATGTCGGTCTTCGGTTGAGGAGATGAGCAGGCTTGCTATGTAGCCATGAGAGAGGAGGGATAGTAATTCCCTTAGACACAGTATTGAGGTGGTTTGATTTTAGGAGATCCGTTGAGATTCCAAAATTTGGGGTTTGTTTGGGGAACTTCGTGTTTGGGGTTAGTGACACTTCTGTGTGTGGTTTACGGAGAGCGGTGGTTTGTTGAGTTGATTAGTCAGCTTTTGGTATGGGGTTTTGGGTTGACATCTGTCACCTTGAGGTTAGTCTCCTTCGTTGTAGACTTGTATATTGATTAGGGAAAACTGAAACTCATCGAACATGTTTATGATTTTAAATTGATTAAGTGAAGAAAGATGAAGTGAAATTGTAAAATCATGAATTTCTTATGCCTTGTGTGTTGATAGCACAATTGTTATTTCTATTAACTATCATTATAGAAAGGTTGTGTTCCGTGTTGGTTGCGGCATCACTGTGTGAGTGATGGCTGTTGATGGTATTATTTTGGAAAGAAATGGAAAACAAAATTTTTCTAATGGTTGGGCCACCTAAAGGCGTTGTTGAGAAATTGATATAATTCAAGGGTTTGAGGAATTCCAAATGCGTCTTTTTGGCAAATGAACTGTGGATGGTTATGTGTTTTGGATAACACCGTATTTGTGAAAAATGTTTACAAAACTTTTGAGTTTTGCGTTGAAAATGCAAGGTTTATTTTGAAATGCCTCATGAGCAAGAAAATGTTTTCCTTATATTAATGTAAAAGATTTGCCTTGATTATCCTTTGATTGGAAATTATGGTTGTTGAGTAGTGACTTAGCTTGAAGCGCTGGTCAGTTGTTGGTAAATAGTTTCGGAAGGGTTGGTTTTGTTGTAGCTTTTGTGCCTACAGTGTTGTCATTTGGAACGTGTTCCCTTGATTAGTCCCTTCCTTGGTAAGAGTGAGTCGAAGGTTTGTAGGGAGAATAGTTCCTCTCCTAGTACTCGGGTGTTGGTGTTGTGCGATCAGTTGGCCTTGTGTTTTGGCATATCCTTAATTTCGGGGACGAAATTCTTTAAGGGGGGGAGGTTATAGCGATCCTGGTTATCCCTTTACTATTCTGTTGTTTTCCGGATGCGGTTCCGTGGAGTTGGTAGTAGTACCTATCGTGTTGTCAACTTTTAAACTCTGTTGTTTGAGTTTTAGAATGTGTTGGGCTTGGTTGTTACAGGTTGGTAGAGCTTTAGCTCCCATTGTTGTTGTCCAGTTTTTGAATGGTCTGCTCGAGCGGGTCTTCTTGCGCTCGAGTGGGGTTTACACACGTCCAGTATTTCGTGCCTTTACAAAACTTCTGCAGATGTGTTTTCTACGCTCGAGCAGATTCCTTTACGCTCGATCGGTCGCGCTCGAGCGGGTACTCTGGCGCTCGAGTGGGTAGTACCTTTTTGGTGTAAGTTTTGGGAGGGGGAAATCTACGCTCGAGCGGACTGGTTTTCACGCTCGAGCGGATGTACTTTATTCTTGTGTCTTGGCGCTCGAGCGGGCCTTATTGCGCTCGAGCGTACCTAGCTTTTTGTCCTTGACGCTCGAGCGTTGTGTTCTCCGCTCGAGCGGGAGAGTCGTATATCAGTTGGCAGCTAGGCTATTTTAAATCACTTTTTACATTTCCTTTCTCTCTCTTACTTTTCCAAAACCGATTTTTGAGAGCTCTTCACTCTAAAACCTAACTTCTCTCTAGGGTTTGATCTAGTAGGAGTGTTTTCCTCACCTTGAGCCTTTGTAAGAAGTGTGTTGATCATTGAGGGCTACATTTTGATCCGAAAAATTTGGAGTTTGAAGCACTTTGAGTTTGGTCCTTTCCTCCGTTTAAGCTCTAACTTCGAGGTAGGGATATCCTACTCCATCTTATGAACTTTGTCTTTGAATTTTGGCATTTTGATATGTTTGGAGTCGTTGGGTAATTTTGAGGAAGTTTGGGTCTTTGTGCGATTTTACAAAGTTAGGGTTTTATTTATTATTACCTATATGCATCTCGGGCATAGAGAG